ATACCATCTGTGGGATGATTCCACACCCTGCTACACTGACATGGTAAGGATGTCATCTGTGGGTTGACTCCACGCCCTGCTACACTGACATGGTAAGGATGTCATCTGTGGGATGACTCCATGCCCTGCTACACTGACAAGGTAAGGATGTCATCTGTCTGGTGATTCCACGCCCTGATACACTGAGAAGGTAAGGATGTCATCTGTTGTGACTCAACGCTATGCTACATAGATGAGATAAGGATATCATCTGTAAGGTAAGGATGACTCATTTGCCTGCTACTCAAATACTATGGACACAATGACAATGGATAAAGTCATGAGAAACATTGATTATTTACACATAATGTACCAAGTAATGATCCGTAAATCATAGATCCTACAGCCCAGGTCATGCCTGAATAGCTTCTGCATATTTGCCTCTTTACAAATGTCATCAGCTGAATATATCCGACTGACTGAGTATGTTAGTCCAGTATTCTATGTTGACCTAAAGCCACACTCCTTCATTCTCTTTCTTGATGTTTGTGCCAACATTTTACGTATTTCAAATGCATCACCATTTTTACCCTTCTCCTTCAAAATACCTTCTTTAATGCTTACAAATCTGTAAACTCAAGGATTTAAAGATTTCAGTCACATTCCAGCTTTCGATCTAAAGACATTCTCTCCAGTCAGAGAGAGAAACTACATAAATAACAGTCCTTAAGCAATCATCCATGAGACCTCTACCCAGGTCACAGCGTGGCACAACTCATGTAGATACTGGCAGATGTGTAAGCAGATGTAGAATTGTTGTCTGTACATCTGCCCCTGGAGTTTTGTAAAATCTACATCAATTTAAGTCTTTGTTGCCCAAGGTGAAGTTGTTCTCCGAGGCGATTTTTTGTTCATTTCTCTGATGTGTTGTCACAAGAGTTAAGTTACAATTGATGGATTTCTCTTTTCAAAAGGGGCACAGGGGTAGCCTAGTTGTTAAAGCGTTCACTCATCACACCAAAGATCTGGGTTCAATTCCCCACGTGGGTACAATCAGCGTTGCAAACTACCGCCTGCCCGACCGTCTGGGACGGTCAGTTTTAAAAAGTTGCACGCCCGATGGTCTGGCTGTTAAGTCAGTGTAATGTTGTAATGTATATAATGACTAAAGCCTTCACTGAAAACATTTGAAAACGTGTGTTACTGTGACAATAACCTGACATTAAACAGTTCCCTCCTCTTATTAACGTAATCTTCTTTTTATTTTTCTTAATCCAGAAAATTCTGGAATGGCAACTTCCAGTCGGTCTTTGTGAAGCCTTTTTCTGGTGTCCCCACTGGGATATTGCAGGAATATTGTTAAAAGCGGCATAGAAATAAACTCACTCACTCACTCTTTAGAAAGATTCTGATAAATGAAATGGGGTGTGTTGAAAAGAAGCTCTGTTCATAATACAACATGTTTGGGTGAATGGAAGGTGGTTGTTCAATCCTCCCTCTGGCTACATCTTACGTTAGATGTAAGGACTGGTAGCACCAGTTGTTACAATATGTCGGGCTCTAATGGCATAAAAGTTGGACTGGTTTTCGGTGCAGGACCATCAAACTTACATTTGTCTGGACAAATACCACCAGCCACACGAATGTCATGCACATCACAATATCCGTCATGTAATCTTGAAAGTGACGTTCAACCCCATTCAGCATTACCTCAAATATTTGTACAGGAGTTCTTCTACTCACACCAATGAGGATAGGCTTGCATGGGATTATCGGGGGTGTTGTAAATACACAACATCATTCAAGGTTTCCTTTACAATCAGTTCTATCGATGTTAACCAAGAGTCACTTGATGATCATTTCTAACTTGATCACTGACCGACATGCTTGTTTGCAGACACTGACATATTTATCTCCCTCACGTTGCCCACAACAGATACTGTTTGCCTGTTGGCTTTCGTCTACACAAAAACCTTGCCATTATCTGATAGAACTGACATTATCTGATAGAACTGCCATTATCTGATAGAACTGACATTATCTGATAGAACTGACATTATCTGATAGAACTGACATTATCTGATAGAACTGATAGAACTGACATTATCTGATAGAACTGACATTATCTGATATTATCTGATAGAACTGACATTATCTGATAGAATCTGATAGAACTGACATTATCTGATAGAACTGACATTATCTGATAGAATCTGATAGAACTGACATTATCTGATAGAACTGACATTATCTGATAGAATCTGATAGAACTGACATTATCTGATAGAACTGACATTATCTGATAGAATCTGATAGAACTGACATTATCTTGAACTGAACCGGACCAGTGTCAACTTGTCCCGAGAATTTATGTGAACATTAATTTGACTGAACACAGGGCTTGATGCGGGCTTCGACAGGGGACAATTCCATGACTGAAATGTATACCGGTAAACTAAAATAATTCATCATTTTTGTGTTTAAAATAGAGTGTAAATTAATGTAATGGCCTTCTTCAGGTGACTTGTCTTTTATGTATATACCTCCAGTGACGTCACTCTGTTGTCTCGTCAGATTTTCCCTTTACCGAGTAAACCTCCACAGGCAGTTTCCAAGAAATCCCAGGGATTTTCTACAGAATTGCCTGGATCCACTAGGCTACAAGGGATCACTGTGAAGAATGTGATTGCTTGTCAGTATGAACCATGCGTTCCTCACAAGACAGGTAGTGCGGACAGTGCATGTGCAGGACATGGGTAGCGCGTGCAGAGCACATGCATTGCGCGTGCAAGGCAAGGTATCGTCTGCCAGTCGCATCCCAGTTGATTTCAACAGTGAATACCAAATATTGAAATTATATCTAAAGTATATCTTTGGTTGGTTCATAAGTTTGATCAAAACTCCCTCCTTGGTTTTGTTTGAACCGTAAGCCCTTGGCCTCGGGAAATTGGTTTCAATTGCTTTTTCAGAGAAAAGCTATTTTCCCATTTTCCCCGGTAAAGGAACTTAATATGGAATCTTAGATAACACCCTGAAGTATTCTGACCCCAGGAATAACCAACCAGGGTGCTGTTGTACAAAACAACCTTAGCGCTAAGACTACCTTCAGTCTATGTTATGGTATGGGAGTTACAGTCACCTTAGCGCTAAGACTACCTTCAGTCTATGTTATGGTATGGGAGTTACGGTCACCTTAGCGCTGAGACTACCTTCAGTCTATGTTATGGTATGGGAGTTACGGTCACCTTAGCGCTGAGACTACCTTAAGTCTATGTTATGGTATGGGAGTTACAGTCACCTTAGCGCTGAGACTACCTTAAGTCTATGTTATAGTATGGGAGTTACAGTCACCTTAGCGCTGAGACTACCTTCAGTCTATGTTATGGTATGGGAGTTACGGTCACCTTAGCGTTAAGACTACCTTAAGTCTATGTTATGGTATGGGAGTTACGGTCACCTGAGCGCAAAGACTACCATAAGTCTATGTTATTGTATGGGAGTTACGGTCACCTTAGCGCTGAGACTACCTTCAGTCTATGTTATGGTATGGGAGTTACAGTCACCTTAGCGCTAAGACTACCTTCAGTCTATGTTATGGTATGGGAGTTACAGTCACCTTAGCGCTGAGACTACCTTCAGTCTATGTTATGGTATGGGAGTTACAGTCACCTTAGCGCTGAGACTACCTTCAGTCTATGTTATGGTATGGAGTTACGGTCACCTTAGCTAAGACTACCTTCAGTCTATGTTATGGTATGGGAGTTACGGTCACCTTAGAGCTGAGACTACCTTAAGTCTATGTTATGGTATGGGAGTTACGGTCACCTTAGCGCTAAGACTACCTTCAGTCTATGTTATGGTATGGGAGTTACGGTCACCTTAGCGCTAAGACTACCTTCAGTCTATGTTATGGTATGGGAGTTACGGTCACCTTAGCGCTGAGACTACCTTCAGTCTATGTTATGGTATGGGAGTTACGGTCACCTTAGCGTTAAGACTACCTTAAGTCTATGTTATGGTATGGGAGTTACGGTCACCTTAAGCTGAGACTACCTTCAGTCTATGTTATGGTATGGGAGTTACAGTCACCTTAGCTGAGACTACCTTCAGTCTATGTTATGGTATGGGAGTTACGGGTCACCTTAGCTAAGACTACCTTCAGTCTATGTTATGGTATGGGAGTTACGGTCACCTTAGCTGAGACCACCTTCAGTCTATGTTATGGTATGGGAGTTACGGTCACCTTAGCGCTCAGACTACCTTCAGTCTATGTTATGGTATGGGAGTTACAGTCACCTTAGCGCTGAGACTACCTTCAGTCTATGTTATGGTATGGGAGTTACGGTCACCTTAGCACTGAGACTACCTTAAGTCTATGTTATGGTATGGGAGTTACAGTCACCTTAGCTCTGAGACTACCTTCAGTCTATGTTATGGTATGGGAGTTACAGTCACCTTAGCGCTGAGACTACCTTAAGTCTATGTTATGGTATGGGAGTTACGGTCACCTTAGCGCTAAGACTACCTTCAGTCTATGTTATGGTATGGGAGTTACAGTCACCTTAGCTGAGACTACCTTTTAAGCCTATGTTATGGTATGGGAGTTACGGTCACCTTAGCTGAGACTACCTTCAGTCTATGTTAAGGTATGGGAGTTACGGTCACCTTAGCGCTGAGACTACCTTAAGTCTATGTTATGGTATGGGAGTTACGGTCACCTTAGAGCTAAGACTACCTTCAGTCTATGTTATGGTATGGGAGTTACGGTCACCTTAGCGCTAAGTTAGCTTTGTACAACAGCACCTAAGGATTACATGAGGATATCTGGGATCTACCTCAACCCGAAGGTTTCTCAGAGTTCTCCCACCAGGACTTCCCACAGGTTGTTAAGGTCCCTTGAAGCCTATTCTGAACCCGGATTTTCCATTGGGTTATCATGAGGATCTTGGGGGTCTATTTACCTCAGATCTATTCGACCACAAGTCTTGTTTGTGTGTCTACATGTAATGTCTTTGATGCAGGCAATCTGAACCCATACCTGACCTCGTACATCCGGAAGTACAGCAGCCCCGGTAACCTGCAGTATGGGGAAAGTGTGTGGATCTTCTCCATGTCAGGAATGGGTCAGGGACTGTCCATGTTCCTTGGGGGCGTCATCAACCGATATATCGGCCCCCGACTCACCACGCTTCTCGGATCAATGCTCATGAGGTTTGACTTTTACTGGCTAGTAACAGTTTAGGGTCATTATTAAAGTAATCAAAAATTAGATACAAGTTAACGTGCAAAATCAAGATTCAATTTTAATTTCACTTTTAGAAAAATATTTATCAACACAATAGGGTCATATCATTAACAGACTCTGAATGAGTATTTAACAACTGCTCTCTCGATATATTATTTGACATTCGTATTTCCCCGTCATGAATTCTTTACAACACTCCTGTAGTCCTATTACATTTTCTTGTTATATTGTGAGGAAACCAATACTTCTAGGGTATATTTAGGATTTTACACACACAAAAATCCCCAAAAAAACAGCTGTGCATTAAACAATGTCTCATTGACAACCAGTGGCAAATCATGCAGTTATATCATAAGGAAATATTGTCGATATTTGATATATTATTATAATTTTCATAATTATTAAGTCATTAAATCTAGACCCAAATTTATGAATGTATTTTTTCTCAGTTCAATATTTTCATAAAACATGGGTAGGTATTTCCGTCGTTGAAATATCACATTCTCAGTTCATAAATCAAGACAGTTAAAATGTAGAAAAATATATGCTATCGTCCACGTTTCATTCGAAGATTTCTGGGAATGTTTTTCATGAAAATTCTGCAAAGTGCGATTGAGGGAGGTATGTATTGTACCAGTATCACTCTCTATTTGCGCAGTATGCTATGCACACTTGCAGACAACTGTCGACAGGAGTCGAGTTTAAGAAATTCGCACCTCCACCGTTGAAGAGTTCGATCTTAGCTAAGATCGCGATCTTAAATCCATGCGGTCTTACAATCGCGCTAAGATCGGCTTTGTGCAAGTGGATTAGGCCAATTGTATGGCGATTGTAAAGTTGATTGTAGGGGCCTAAGATTGATTGTAACTAAGATTGCTCTGTGCAAGTGGGCCCAGGTGTTCATGTTTCTATAATTGACCATGTTCACCATTTTAAGCTCCCCTGACCAGGTTTTAGACCTCGTTGGAAGCAACCTGTATAAACGACTTTATAGTAGCTGACCTTTACTAACAGCTAGTCTCTGAAATGAATATATTTTACAAAAAAAGGTTTTTTAATTAAAATATGATAGAGACTTTCTTCTAGTCTATAAAATGAACATGTTTTACAGAAAAATAGGTTTTAATTTAAACTAGATACAATAAAAGGAGCCAGAGACTTTCTTCATTTTAAGAAACTCTGTTGACATTAATCTAGACTTGCCACACATCCTAGACTTACATGGGCTACATTGGGTATACATGCATTTGTTTCAGCATCAGTATGACAGAATACAGTTGACCCTGAATTTAACATATTGACAGTGTGCATTTCTTGCATGTAAAGCTGCATTACTATTATTTTTTTTATAAGATGTTGTCAGGGATAATTTGATTAAAACTTAATAAAACCAACTGTCAACGGTCAGCCTTAGAATGCAGGAATTTATAAAAAAACACACCTGTTTTTGTTGTTGTGGTGTTCCAGTGCCGGAGTCCTGTTGACGTACGTGTCAGTCCAGCACTCCTTCGTTGCCGTTGTTTTCACGTACGGACTGATGTTTGGACTGGGTGTCGGTATAGCTTATGCAGTGCCCATGGCCTGTGCAATGAAGGTAGGTTTCCTTATATAAACTATAGTTCCCCTGTTATGTCCTGAAAGTAAGTGTCCTGTATTGTCCATAGCCTGTGTCCAATTGTGTATGGCCATTGTCTGTGTCCTGAAAATAGTTCTATTGTATATGTGTCCTGAAGATGGGTCCCTGTAATGTCCATAGCCTGTTTCCTGAAGATGGGTCCCTGTAATGTCCATAGCCTGTGTCCTGAAGATGGGTCTCTGTAATGTCCATAGCCTGTGTCCTGAAGATGGGTCTCTGTAATGTCCATAGCCTGTGTCCTGAAGATGGGTCCCTGTAATGTCCATAGCCTGTGTCCTGAAGATGGGTCTCTGTAATGTCCATAGCCTGTGTCTGTAATGTCCATAGCCTGTGTCATGAAGATGAGTCTCTGTAATGTCCATAGCCTGTGTCCTGAAGATGAGTCTCTGTAATGCCCATAGCCTGTGTCCTGAAGATGGGTCTCTGTAATATCCATAGCGTGTGTCATGAAGATGGGTCTCTGTAATGTCCATAGCCTGTGTCCTGAAGATGGGTCTCTCTAATGTCCATAGCCTGTGTCCTGAAGATGGATCTCTGTAATGTCCATGGGTCTCTGTAATGTCCATAGCCTGTGTCCTGAAAATGGGTCTCTGTAATGTCCATAGCCTGTGTCCTGAAGATGGGTCTCTCTAATGTCCATAGCCTGTGTCCTGAAGATGGGTCCCTGTAATGTCCATAGCCTGTGTCCTGAAGATGGGTCCCTGTAATGTCCATAGCCTGTGTCCTGAAGATGGGTCTCTGTAATGTCCATAGCCTGTGTCCTGAAGATGGGTCTCTGTAATGTCCATAGCCTGTGTCCTGAAGATGGGTCTCTGTAATGTCCATAGCCTGTGTCCTGAAGATCGGTCCCTGTAATGTCCATAGCCTGTGTCCTGAAGATGGGTCCCTGTAATGTCCATAGCCTGTGTCCTGAAGATGGGTCTCTGTGATGTCCATAGCCTGTGTCCTGAAGATGGGTCTCTGTAATGTCCATGGGTCTCTGTAATGTCCATAGCCTGTGTCCTGAAGATGGGTCTCTGTAATGTCCATAGCCTGTGTCCTGAAGATGGGTCCCTGTAATGTCCATAGCCTGTGTCCTGAAGATAGGTCTCTCTAATGTCCATAGCCTGTGTCCTGAAGATGGGTCCCTGTAATGTCCATAGCCTGTGTCCTGAAGATGGGTCCCTGTAATGTCCATAGCCTGTGTCCTGAAGATGGGTCTCTGTAATGTCCATAGCCTGTGTCCTGAAGATGGGTCTCTGTAATGTCCATGGGTCTCTGTAATGTCCATAGCCTGTGTCCTGAAGATGGGTCTCTGTAATGTCCATAGCCTGTGTCCTGAAGATGAGTCCCTGTAATGTCCATAGCCTGTGTCCTGAAGATGGGTCTCTGTAATGTCCATAGCCTGTGTCCTGAAGATGGGTCCTTGTAATGTCCATAGCCTGTGTCCTGAAGATGGGTCTCTGAAATGTCCATGGGTCTCTGTAATGTCCATAGCCTGTGTCCTGAAGATGGGTCTCTCTAATGTCCATAGCCTGTGTCCTGAAGATGGGTCTCTGTAATGTCCATAGCCTGTGTCCTGAAGATGGGTCCCTGTAATGTCCATAGCCTGTGTCCTGAAGATGGGTCCCTGTAATGTCCATAGCCTGTGTCCTGAAGATTGGTCTCTCTAATGTCCATAGCCTGTGTCCTGAAGATGGGTATATGTTCTCGCTTAGTGTCAGGAAACATCCAAGTTTGTATTCAATAAGTGTCAGTTACGTTTTCAAATAACGGGAAGTGTGTTGTGGAAAAAATTTGGGTTTGTTGTTTCACACCACTGTCAGCAACAATCAATGTGGCAATGTGGCATGTAATTGTAATGGGATTTACCAACGCTAGACATGTTGACATCGATGTTTCCAGTGGCTTCCAGAGAAGAAGGGACTAGTCAGTGGCTGTGTGGTCGCCGGATTTGGGGGTGGTGCCTTCATCTTCTTGACCAGGTTCAGATTAGCGTACATCAACCATAACAACTTGAAACCTCAGATAGATGAAACTGATGGGGGAAGGTAACGGGAGTCAAGTGTTGTGTTATGCGTTCATGATGATTGTGTGAGTTTACGGGTGTATTTTAAGTTCTTTTGATGTGTATTGGACTACTTCATAATGTGTGTGTGTGTGTGTGTGTGTGAGCGGTGAATGGTAAGTCTTCAGGATGTGTGTGAGAGTTAAGGGGTGTATTGTAAGTGGTCGGGATGTGTGTGAGTGAGTGAAGGGGTGTATTGTAAGTTATCGGGATGTGTGTGAGAGTTAAGGGGTGTATTGTAAGTGGTCGGGATGTGTGTGAGAGTTAAGGGGTGTATTGTAAGTGGTCAGGATGTGTGTGAGAGTTAAGGGGTGTATTGTAAGTGGTCGGGATGTGTGTGAGAGTTAAGGGGTGTATTGTAAGTGGTCGGGATGTGTGTGTGAGAGTTAAGGGGTGTATTGTAAGTGGTCAGGATGTGTGTGAGAGTTAAGGGGTGTATTGTAAGTGGTCGGGATGTGTGTGAGAGTTAAGGGGTGTATTGTAAGTGGTCGGATGTGTGTGAGAGTTAAGTGTAGTGTAAGAAGTGGTCGGATGTGTGTGAGAGTTAAAATTGTAAGTGGTCAGGATGTGTGTGAGAGTTAAAGGTGTATTGTAAGTGGTCAGGATGTGTGTGAGAGTTCTTCAGGATGTGTGTGAGAGTTATGAGGTGTATTGTAAGTCTTCAGGATGTGTGTGAAGTTGGGGTGTATTGTAAGTGGTAGGGATGTGTGTGAGAGTTAAGGGTGTATTGTAAGTGGTCAGGATGTGTGTGAGAGTTAAGGGTGTATTGTAAGTGGTGGGATGTGTGTGAGAGTTAAGGTGTATTGTAAGTGGTCGGATGTGTGTGGAGAGTTAAGGGGTATTGTAAGTGGTCGGATGTGTGAGAGTTAGGGGGTGTATTTAAGTGGTCGGGATGTGTGTGAGAGTTGTGTATTGCAAGTGGTCGGATGTGTGTGAGAGTTGTATTGTAAGTGGTCGGGATGTGTGAGAGTTAAGGGGTGTATTGTAAGTGGGTGAGAGTTAAGGGGTGTATTGTAAAGTCGGGATGTGTGTGTGAGTTAAGGGGTGTATTGTAGGTCGGATGTGTGAGTTAAGGGGTGTATTGTAAGTGGTCAGGATGTGTGTGAGAGTTATGTGTATTGTAAGTGGTCGGATGTGTGAGAGTTAAGGTGTATTGTAAGTCTTCAGGATGTGTGTGAGAGTTAAGGGGTGTATTGTAAGTGGTCGGGATGTGTGAGTTAAAGGGTGTATTGTAAGTAGTCGGGATGTGTGTGAGAGTTAAGGGGTGTATTGTAAGTGGTCGGATGTGTGAGAGAGTTAAGGGTGTAGTGTAAGTGGTCGGGATGTGTGTGAGAGTTAAGGGTGTATTGTAAGTGGTCGGATGTGTGTGAGAGTTAAGGGTGTATTGTAAGTGGTCGGATGTGTGTGAGAGTTAAGGGGTGTATTGTAAGTGGTCGGGATGTGTGTGAGAGTTAAGGGGTGTATTGTAAGTGGTCGGGATGTGTGTGAGAGTTAAGGGGTGTATTGTAAGTGGTCGGGATGTGTGTGAGAGTTAAGGGGTGTATTGTAAGTGGTCGGGATGTGTGAGAGTTAAGGGTGTATTGTAAGTGGTCGGATGTGTAAGAGTTAAGGGTGTATTGTAAGTGGTCGGGATGTGTGTGAGAGTTAAGGGGTGTATTGTAAGTGATCGGGATGTGTGTGAGAGTTAAGGGGTGTATTGTAAGTGGTCGGGATGTACAACACGTACATAAAACTTCTTGTGGTGATCACGATGGAAAAACATGAAGTTTTCTGACCCGTATGATCCTTAAAAAACGACAAGATGATTGGAATCCACGTTGATTTTATGATGAAAATTGCTGATTTCAAAATAACACTGATTTACATACAAAACCATGTTTGTACAAGTATGGCCCTGGAATGTTTAATGTTGAACTTATTGGTGAATGTGAACATTTTAAATGCCATTTTTAATGTCTTACACGAATCAAGGTAACTACCGAGCGTAACCTCCATGTGACTGCATGACAGCCAGCACTCTCCTCCTCATACCCCCTGTCAGCCTCCTGATTGTCTGAAGGGGTAGTCTACGCCATTCCTCGTGTAAAGCAGCTTCCAATTGGGCCATGTTCTGTACAGGAAGATCCCTTTGTTGCACATGATGACCAATCATGCCTCAGATATGATCCAAAGAGTTAAGATCAGGGCTCATTCAATCGTGAGATATGTCACAGGGTGCTTAACTAAGTTCTTTGTGTATATATTGAATCAGGTCAGATTTCAGAAAATGATAAGCTTTGTGAAACTGTTAGTCTCCATGGCAACAGGTGATCAGCCATGTGGTCCTCTGACTTGAAACACTTTTCCATCTTCAGTTATTTCACACAGCCCGAGGTGTTGGACAAAGTACCCAAGATGTTCCTGATACTGGGAGCATGCTACATCGTGATGCAGCTCATTGGCATCATCTTCATATCAGAGCCGCCTCCTGTTGAGGTGAGACATCATTATGTCCTGAGAGATCAGTATCATTATTGGTGCTATATTACATGAATGTGTTTGTCAGGCTGATTTTACAAACTGAGTTTCATAAAATTGTCTATTTTGTTAGTTCAAGGAAGATAATTTGATTTTGAGACAAATTTTCTAAGCTGTACATACACTCGTGTAAATTTTACCTTATGTTTGTATTGTCTATGTTCTTTGTCTCAATGTCGATACGATCAAAGTCTTCCTGTGTCCTTTGAGACATTTTTAAAAAGTTCTTCTAAATTTAGCACTATAGCAGAATGCAAGAGCATAATTCAAAATTGAGATTTCCTTTGGACGAAAAATAGCCCTAAAATATCATGGTAACACCTGATCCTTAGCCAGAATTCTTTGTTTATCGCAAACCATTTCATAATGGTGACGATTTTAGAATTTCTGGTTTTAACAGGGCAGTAAAGGTAATACTTCCATCACAATGGCCAAGGTAGGATTGTATAAGGTGATGGAAGTTGTCTGTGGAGTAGGGTTAAATGTGCCTCTCTGTTGTACAAGTTAACCTTGTTCTGTTACCTTTTAAGCTATTCTGGTGAAGGGGCACCTGCTGAGGTAATCCAGTTGTGAGAGAGGTAGCTGTGTAGCAAGTGACTAGCAGTAGGTCGTGCATGGGTTGCATGTTGGTATTGCCACAGAGTATCAGCTGTAAAACATATAGCAAAAGCTACTGCATTAAACTACATGTGATTGACACATTTAACCCTGCGATGCTGGACTGCTAACCCACTTAACCCACCATGCTACAGGGTGCTGTGAACATTGTGGGGTATTTCAGATATTCAATGATTCACTTGCAATGGTCATATTTTGCACATATGTACCATATTATATGCTATGGTAAAATGCACATTAGTATTTAAAGATACTATCCTGATATTTTCGGAATGTACAAATGAAGCATTCAATGAAACATTACATTTGGGATTACACTTTCTTAGTAAAGTACAGATTCTAGTACATCTGGGTTTGGAACCCACACTCTCAGGGTCTGGCACCTAATTGCCAGCACACAAAGTCAGCGATCTAACCCACTCAGCCACCACCTACAAAAATGGAAGTCTGACAACTGGTAGTCTATTTTAATGTTACATTTTACCACTTTCTCGATGGTGTTGTGGGATCTGTACCAGTTTACAAAAAGGATGCATTATGTTTTCCTCTGGTCAGCTAGTAGGAGAGTGTCAACAAAAGACGATCATCTGGGCTAAACTGAGACTTGAAGCCATGACTTATCCACCAAGTATGATTTTGTGCCTCTTTTTTTAAATAATTGAGTTGGGAGTTACGACGACCTGCTCAGTCCTCTGCTTCCATTTTAATCACTTCTGTTTTTTTCACCCTGTTCTGTTTAAATTTTCCCAATAGGTAAGGACAACATATGTGCCCCAGCCTAAAGGAGATGGATCAGATGAGTCTGTAAATGTAACTTCTGCAGCTTTGTTTCACAGTAATAATGGGACCTCTCTAACAAAGCTCTATCTTGCTCTAACATCCATCATTGTTGCCTCTGCCTGGTTTCTGTGTACTGTCTACATGTTTGGGTTGGTGGCCATGTTGGCAGTTGATGCTCTGATAGGATTGATGGGGTCTTTAACTGAATGATTTTCTGACGGGATGGACTGGATCCTGTTGAGAGGAAGCATGAAGTCACAGAGGCTGCATGGTTGACATGAAGGATTTAGTCATGAATGAAATGATGGTTGTCAGGATGGATGAAGTCATGTTTGACAGGGTGGTTGATAAGATGGATGTGATCATGATTGACAGGGTGGTTGATAAGATGGATGTAATCATGATTGACAGGGTGGTTGATAAGATGGATGGGATCATGATTGACAAGGTGATTGATAAAATGGATGGAATCATAAATGACAGGGTGGTTGATAAGATGGATGGAATCATAAATGACAGGGTGGTTGATAAGATGGATGGAATCATAATGACAGGGTGGTTGATAAGATGGATGCATATGGGATCATGATTGACAGGGTAGTTGATAATATGGATGGGATCATGATTGACAGGGTGGTTGATAAGATGGATGGGATCATGATTGACAGGGTGGTTGATAATATGGATGGGATCATGATTGACAGGGTGGTTGATAAGATGGATGGGATCATGATTGACAGGGTGGTTGATAAGATGGATGGGATCATGATTGACAGGGTGGTTGATACTATTGATGGGATCATGATTGACAGGGTGGTTGATAATATGGATGGGATCATGATTGACAGGGTGGTTGATAAGATGGATGGGATCATGATTGACAGAGTGGTTGGTGGAAGGATGAAGTCAGGAGTGAAAAGATGACTGATGGGATGGAGGGAATCATGAATGACAGGATGAGTGACATAAATGAGATATCTGGAAGGATTCCTAACTTGAGGTGTACACATGAGTGTTGTAGTATGTACAACTACCCGGCAGCAGGTTATAACGGACTGGTTGCTCTGTTGCCAGCCCTCAATGTAAGAGTCAGTTCTCCATTTTAATACAATATGTGAATATCATTCTTGAAATTAACTCATTCAGCTGCTTTCAGTACCATGTGTACACTCTTTCATGCATAACATATACTGACCAACTGTGAGATCTTTAAAAAACTGTTCAGTTAGCATTGTGAACACTGCTGATCTGTATAAATCAGCCAACGCCTCTCATTTGATCTTTACATCTAATTGGGATTCACATAACACTGAATGTATTGTTGCAGCTGTTTACTATTCCCATTCCACTGAAGGAAGCAGTGAGTCTAAGGTTGGGTCACCACTGGAAAGGCGTGTGGAAAACAGAATTGCTGCCACTGAGTGTGATAGTGTGTTTCGAATCCCAGATTGTTGCAAGGTTTGCCAGTGGCACATCCATGTTAACTGGCTTCACTGAAGTAGGAAATATCTAAACCAGCATGGCACTGGTCTTTTCCCCCACATTTGGGTTACAAGCCAAAATATGGCTGAAATATTATTCACAGTAGCACTAAACTAAAGTCACTCACATTACGTTAGGTAACATTTAGCGAAATGACTTCAACTAACCCACTATCAGCTTTGAATGATTCACGTTCAATGTTTATTGTTGCAGTTTACTTGGCTAGCTCTAAATCATTTGGCTTTTGAGATAATTCTAAAAAAATTATAACACTTAAAAGATGTTATATGTTTCTATTTTTGTAACACAGAGAAGTGGGATTATGCAGTGCTCTGTCGGTGAAGGATGTGCATTGTCCTGTCTGTTTGGGTTGTGCAGTCTTCTCTCTGAGAGGTTGTGTCGAGGTTGTGTACAGCTGTTCCTGTCAGGGTTGTGCAGTGCTCTGTTTGTGGGGGTTGTTTGTGCTCTGTTGGAGGGAGTTGTCAAGTGCTGTCCCTGTACTCTGTCTGCAGTGCTCTCTCTGCAGATGTTGTACAATGCACTCTGCTAGGGTTTGTGTGCTCTGTCTGTGGGAGCTGTGCAGTCTTCTTTCTGAGAGGTTGTGCATTGCTGTCCCAGTTGAGGTTGTGCAATGCTGTTCCTGTCAGAGTTGTGCTATGCTCTCTGTCGGTGGGGATTGTCCAGTGCTCTCTCTGTTGTGATTGTTCAGCGCTCTCTAGTGTATGGGATTGTGCATTGCTCTGTGTGTGGGGTTGTACATTGCTCTGTGTGTGGGGTTGTGCATTGCTCTGTGTGTGGGGTTGTGCATTGCTCTGTGTGTGGGGTTGTGCATTGCTCTGTGTGTGGGGTTGTGCATTGCTCTGTGTGTGGGGTTGTGCATTGCTCTGTGTGTGGGGTTGTGCATTGCTCTGTGTGTGGGGTTGTGCATTGCTCTGTGTGTGGGGTTGTGGATTGCTCTGTGTGTGGGGTTGTGCATTGCTCTGTGTGTGTGTGTGTGTGGGGGGGTGCATTGCTGTGTGTGTGGGGTTGTGCATTGCTCTGTGTGTGGGGTTTCCAGTGCTGTTCCCTTGAGGGTTGTGAAGTGTTCTCTCTGGGGGGTTGTGCAGTGTTCTCTCTGGGGGGTTGTACAGTGTTCTCTCTCTGAGGTCTTGTGCAGTGCTCCGTCTGTGGGGTTGTTCTGTGCTCTGTCTTGGGGGATGTGCAGTGCTCTGTTGGAGGGAGTTGTCAAGTGCTGTCCCTGTACTCTGTCTGCAGTGCTCTCTCTTGTGAGAGTTGGGCCCCTCCGTATTGGTTGTCCAGTGCTCTCATTAAGGGTGCTGCTGTGTTTTCCAATCCCTTGTAATCACAGGTTTCAAGCCTAGATTTGCACTTATTAACAGCACAATGCCTTTCCTTGCAGGTTTCACAATACTGTTAATAACTAACCAACATGTTTATTCTCACTTACTGGATTCTGAAGTCTTGCCTTGTGTGTCAGGTAGGATTCTGGGGCAGTATGTGAACATATTCTGCCTGTTGACAGTAACAGTGTAAATCATGTAAACAGTACAACTTCAGTTAAAGGGAGGTTAGTGATGGCATCTGATTGATTGAGAAAAAGGCCTTCAAAGCATTGTGATACAGTTTTATTGTAGTTGATCTAGAGCAGTGTTGGTTATTACCGAACAAGCTGCCATCACTGAACAAACTTTCTGTATATTTGTCTCAATCGCTCAATCACAAATGTTTTAACTTAGAATATATTAATCCAAACATGAAGAAAAGAGAAAACAGACAAGGCCCAACAACGGGCATCACATCTTGCATGTAATACATAATGGACAATAGGATACTTCTTTCTAAAAATAACCTCATGTCTAATTTCGTACATTGCACATTTCAAGACTATAAGGCAAGGTGTTTTTGGCAATGCTTGGTTTGTGTATTACGAACAACACTAACCTGTTGATAGTTCGCAGTAGTTATTCATCCTTTGCGTAGATCGATGACAGTTAATTATTGTTTCATATATTGAACCGCAACTGGAATAAGGTGGGATATGGTGTTAACTGTTCGGTAATACCCAATATTGCACTATCTAGTGGATGCCAGTTTGGGATGATAAGTTGTCAGAGTGCATGGCTCGTGTTGCTCGTGCTATCAATCACTGTTTGCCTGACCAGATGTATTGGCTGCTGCTGCTTATAGGTATAACTGATGTTGCTGACTAGCTTAATGTCACTGTATCTCATCAGTCTCTGACTGTCTACACTGATGTTGATATTTTAACTTTACTGATTGAGTTTAGTTTTACGCCACACTCAGCAATGTTTCAGCTGTATGGCGGCGGTCTTTAAATATTCGAGTCTGTGCTAACTTTCGCTTAATGTCACTGTATCTCAGTGGTCTCTGTCGCAATATAGCTGGAGGCATAAAACTAAACTCATTCACTCACTCACTAGGCTTTGGTATTTTTATATACCCAAAGCCTTTATTGTCTAATGGAGCCTTCATTCTTTAATGTAAGATTGAATAAGGTATACTTTAAGCCTACTTTTACAATTTTGAATTTTGTATAATTATAAAACATGAGAGTGCTTTAGTTATCAGTTATATAACACCAGCTCATATTGACTACAATGCTTGACCAGGAGAATAACTTCCTTAAGTGGCATATAGAAGCTGGTATGATAAAGGTGAACACTTATGTGGATTGACAGCTAACATATGTCATATTGCAATAAACAAGTTGTCTGTCCATAATAAGTGTTCTTCTTCTTCAGAAGAGTAGTTGTTTGTGTAAAGTTACCGAGTGTGACTAGACATGGTGATGAGATCATGGTGTCCCTTGTGATGTTGTAGCAGCAGTTGTTGTTGTTGTTGCAGGTGATGGATGTGACGGTGAACCCCGATGGGGAGGACAGCGAGACGAAGGCCTTGATCCCAGCAGCCAGCTCGGATGAAGAGGGAGGCATAAAACAGGAGGAAACTCCAGCAATACGGGAACATACAGGCGTGAAGTACTGTGCTCAGTTTTTGGACATTTGGGGTAGTGTAATGGTTAAAGACCCGGGTTCGATTCCCCACATGGGCTCATTGTGTGAAGCCCATTTCTGTTGTCCCCCGCGGTGATACTGCTATAATATTGCTAAAAGCGGCATAAAAATAAACTCACTCACTCACTTTCGCACATCTCTTTTCGCCAGAACTCTTTCTCATGCAGGGATCGAAATAGAGCTTAATTTGTGGTCCATGGCACGTTAAATGTTGAAATGGCACGAGAGAAATATTTTATTCAGTGCCTTGGCATTATAAAATTATAAAAATGACACTCACCATAATTCATGTAATCCAAAATGCCATGATACATTTGACCAGCTTGAATGATTCAAAACCTTTTTTTGCACCCCATCAAATTGTTTATTGGTGGCACTCTCAGTCTCATATATTGATATAGGCTTATCCAGTTTGAATCCCAGAACCCCGAACACAGGAAATTCTGTTTTCGATGATAAAATAGTTTATGGGTTAGTTTATGGGTCCAGGACAAATGAAGATGACCTATTCGTGCAGCTTAACATGGGCGTGACCTCTTTGAATCCTAGCATGCATACAGGAAATCCTGTTTTGTAGGATAACATAGTTTATGGGTCCAGGACAAATGAAGCTGAACAATTCTTGCAGTCATGATAGTGTTCAGGAAATATTGCTGTCAAGTTAACAGGTTTACATGATGTCTACTGATTTAGTAAACAAATTGAATTGTAATAATTGGTGTGATGTTTTAAGTTTAATTGGACCACACTTATTTTCACAAAGACAAAATATCTGTCTGGTGTCCAATGGCACACTTTGAAACAACTGCATATATCCATGTCCTGACTCTGACTTATTGACAGTCAATATGTATAGCTGTAATGTTGCTGGATTTGAATTCAGTTAGTCAAGTAAAGAAGTGTAAACTGGCTTGATCAGGTTTGTGAGAGTAACAGTTGTGATATAGCCAGCAATGTTTCAGGGATGATGAGCATGCTGTCTTGCACCCGAAACAAGGTTTGTGAGAGTAACAGTTGTGATATAGCCAGCAATGTTTCAGGGATGATGAGCATGCTGTCTTGCACCCGAAACAAATGTTGAAGCAGCGAGCATTCTATATCCTGTGGTTCATCTTCCTCTTTAATGGACAGGGTGTGGTGTTCTTCTCCTCACTGTATAAGGTCAGTCACCTCACTTCATAATGTTCCATATATGTTCAATTTTTCCTTATTTTTCCTAAAGTTGATATTTTATACTTATCCTGACTCATGATCTTTTGCCTATCTCCCTTTTCCTTGCGAATGGTAGTGGAACACTTGAATCCCTTGTAGTTCCCGAAGCGGACGTAAAAATACACTAACCCACGAGTTACCTCCTGTTTTCCCGCGCAGACAGTCATGTGACCAGCCTTACTTGTTACTCTCTCCTTTTTCGCCCAAGCGGATGGTTGGGCGAGCACCGGAGTCCCATATACGGCATATATCCTTTATATTTAGATCCTATTTATCAAAATTACGCTGTGTATGGTATTTGGCTATAACTATCATGTATTAATTGTGTAAAAATTTGGTAATTTGTGACAATTTTCATCGTAATGTAACGTGTTTACATTTCATGAATCTTGCCTTGTTGCAGGCACCGGCTATCAGCGACTGATCCTCACCCCCAATGCCCATCGTGCATTAAATCATGTTCTTCCAACTCACGTTGTACATTTGGCAGTCATTTATCAAATTTGCAATTTAATCAATATTTGTCTTATATCTATAGACGTGTCATGGATCGGGGGAAGAAGTCATCACAAGTCGATAAACCTGGAGATCAAGCCCATAACCTTAGGTTGTTTGCTGCTGCAGATATACATAATTTTGTTGCTATGTTGGATATGTTGCAGGGGCAGTCGTCTGTTACGGGTTCGAAAAAGAGGTCTGCTACGACGGAGTTGATGCCGTCTCAGGCTAAGAAAAAGAGTACTGCTTCTTCCACAACGCAGAAAAGGGCAACTACTACTAAGTCTCTATCGAAATCCACACGACCTAGCAAGTCAACTCACCAGAAGTCGTTTAATGAGGAGATCATTCTACCACACGAGGCAGACATGTTTGATGAACCACCGTTACTTCTGCCTGATGTACCTACTAGATCGGCAACACAGTCGTCTCTACGACTTCTAGATCGTCTCCTGCAACTACAACAGCGACCCAGCTGTTTAACGACCAACCACCAACTTCTCAACACAGTGAAGTTGAAGCACACAACACATCAACGTTCGCGAACGCTTCATCAACGCCGAATCAGTTCCAGTCAACACAGAACTTCAATCAAGGCGACTTTATGAGACAATTTACTACTCAAATGATGGCCATGATGGAAAGACGTTTTGATGAGGAAGCGAAGGCACAACAGGAACGCTCATCAACTGACAATGTTCGCAAACCCTCAGACCTACGTGAACCCAATACGCCTCACAGATCTACATCTGCAGTCAACGTTGGCTAACGTGAACGTTCGAGAAGGTCATCACAATCGGACGACTCTGTCATCATAGTAGAACAAGATGGAAGGTCCGCGAAGGCTACCAACTACTTGATACAGCGACGAGGAGATCCTTCTTCGGATTAGCGAGATCCAGAGCAATCAATGAGGCATTGATTAACAAGTTCCAGAACCCCAGTTCGGAAGAAGATAGAATGATATTATCTGCTCTTCTCACTCAGAAAAAGGACCAATACTTCATATCGGATCATTTGGCCTCAACGTCGGCGGGTCTCACCTTATCACGGAGACAGGGTCTACTGGCATCGTGTTCCTGGAGTGACAGATTTACCCAACCGCTACTTAGAGCTCCTTGGGCGGCGCCTACCATCTTCGGAGGTGAGGTAGATGAAGCAGCTAAGGAAGCTACTCACGACTCAAGGGAAGTCATGATGATCAAGTCTATAGATACTCTAGCCAACGTCATTCGTCATACTTCACAGAAGTACAACAGCAATTCGAAATATTCCGGTATCCAGAAGGCTAAGGAGAAGAAGTACTCCAGCCTTAGAGGCAGGAAAAGTCCTTTTCGTCGCCCATCCGGAAACTACAGAGGAAACTCAGGGAGAGGACGTACCCCCAGAGGTTTCAGAGGGGCTAGACGCTGAAAGTGGGGTTCGGAACGACTGGATGCTTCCACCCCCAGCCGTTCCTGTACAACCATCGACAGTGGGTGGACGTCTACAAAGGTACTGGGAAAATTGGGGAATACTGGAGGACGACTAAGTCTCACAAGTACTGCGAGAAGGGTACAGAGTGCAGCTCAAGGCCACACCACCATTAACCCTCAGACCGATGGTCTTCAACTATGCAGACGAGCAAGCAGACAAGCTACAAGAAGCCATCAACTCGCTTCTAACCAAGAATGCGGTGGAAAGAATAGATCAACATCATCTCACACCAGGCTTCTACTCCCCAATTTTCCTAGTACCCAAGAAGAATTCCAAAGAGAAATTCAGGTTGATTTACAACATGCGGAAATTCAACCAAGACTATCTACTCAGACTACTGAAACGTTCAGAATGATCCAGACTCAGACTACTAAATCGTCCAGCAGACTTTATGGCCAGCATAGACCTCAAGGATGCATATCTACACATCCCCATACATCCGGAATCAAGGAAATATCTACGATTCCTATTCAGAGGTCAGCACTTCCAATGGAACGTCCTACCGTTTGGAATATCGTCGGCTCCGTGGTTATCCACACTAATAACCGATCCCATGCTCCCTACCTACATGATCGACCTCTACGCCAATAACTTTTACCTGGACGATGGCATACAGGTTCATCAAAGTGCCAATCAACTCAGACAGCAGCTGAACTTCACAATCAAGCTGCTCACGCAAATAGGATGGCTAGTGAACCTGATGAAGTCGGAGTTGGAACCAAAACAAGATCTACAATTCCTGGGGATAAGATTCATCACAACACAGAATCGAATTATGACCCCAGAGGATCGTTCGGTCAAGATACAAGCCATGATTCCTCAAGCAGTCATCTCTCCGTTAACACTACGAACATGGCAATGTCTATTCGGTCTACTTACCTCAGCACAAGACTTGACTCGCACAGGAAGGTTACAACTACAGCCATTGCAACAATTCCTGGCAAAACATCTGGACAGCAGCGACCCTATCTCGCTACCAGAACATCTCAAAGTGTACCTACTTTGGTGGACTCACAGGTCCTATTTACAAGAGCCGGTCTTAGACACAAATCTTTACGCAGATGCATCACTGCAGGGATGGGGTGCACATCTCAACAACCAAGTTGCATCAGGGAAGTGGTCAAATGCAGAACAGCATCTTCACATCAATCTGCTGGAAGGGAAAGCTATGGTCGATTTCGCTGAGCAACAGAATGCTGATGATCCACACGGACAACTCTACAGTGGCATTCTCCATAGTCGGCAAGGATCAACAAGATCGCCAAGCCTATTGCAGCTCACATTCCAGTTGTTCAATATCACAGAGAAGGCAAACATCTGGATAAAAGCGTGTCGCATACTGGGAGCCAAGAACGTACTAGCAGACGATCTTTCCCGACCACTTGATCCGTCACCCACAGAATGGATGCACCCATCCAGAAGCATACTGGCTCATTATAAGGGAAATAGGATCCCCATGCATAGACCTGTTCGCCACGAGGTTCAACAATCAACTACAGACGTTTGTTTCACCAGTAGCAGTCCCCCAAGCCTGGGCAACAGATGCGCTGAGCATATCATGGGAAGGACTAAACGCTTACGTATTTCCACCCCCGATCTTACTACTGAAAGTACTGTTGAAGATCAAACAGACACAAGCGCTACAACTGACTTTGGTCACGCCCCTATTGGCCAGCGAGAGTCTGCTTCCTAGACCTAATAGAAGATCTCGGAAGTCCAACCCTCAAACTACCAGAATGGCCGAACCTACTCGGACATCCGCACAGCAAACAAGTCCACAGGAACCCACTAATGTTCCAGTTACATGTGTGGACTGTATCAAAACCTGTATGAAGAAAAAGAGGATACTCCGCCAGAGCAGCGAAAGCAGTAACCCTAGCGTTACGCAGATCTACTCGCAATTTGTATGACGACAAATGGCAGAAATTTGAGCAATGTGCAAGGCGGAAGGGCTTCACAGCTAAAAAAGCGTCTATGTCACCTTAGATATACAAGACATCTGAAAGGTTCGACATTATCCACATATTTGGCAGCCATCAGTACAGTCATCACTATGAAGTCAAATTGACAAAAGTACTAGAAATACTAGCTCTCCTGCAATCTTTTAAACTGGAGGACCAGCAAAAGAAATTCAGAGCACCAGCCTGGGATCTGAATGTAATTCTACGTCATCTCATGAGCGATGCCTACGAACCTCTAGAAAAGACTACCTTCGAGCTACTCATGCAGAAAACTCTGTTCCTGCTTGCCCTATCCATGGCACCTCTTATGTCTGAGATACATGCGCTGGACTTTTGACGAACTAGATTCGACACGGGGCACTGTGCTGCAGTACATCTAGGACTTAGATGGGACTTTATTGCAAAGAATGAACTACCTGGTCAACCAGATAGACAGTTCCATGTGCCAGCGCTATCTACTGTCCTCGGGCCCCAGAGGACACCCAGGACTTATCCTTGTGTCCTGTCAGAGCCTTGAAGATATATCTTCAAAAGACTAAAACAAGGAGAAGAAAATTCAAGCGCCTATTCATCCCCTTGTCGACGGTGACAGCAGTAGAAGTCTCAAGAACGACAATATCGTTTTGGATGAGAGCCGTTATACTAAGAGCCTACAAAGCAGCAGGATTAGAACCTCCAAGAGCCTCCAACCCACACGAAGTCAGAGCACTGGCGTCAATACTCGCTCTGCATGGAAATTGCTCTATATCATCAATTATGGAGGGCTGCTTGTGGAAGTCAGATATGGTGTTTGCCAGCCACTACCTCTGAGACATAGCCACTGAAGACGTCTCCGGCATTCACCAGTTTGGGCCTCTTGTTGTAGCACAACAACTAACGGTTCCACAAAGGCGCGCTGAGTTTGAATCTCACCCTTTTATCACGTTGACTTGTTGTTCTAGTTTGAAAGTCCATGCGCACAGTCTAGACTAGGCTAGCATGAGTGATTAAGACCCTGTACGGGTAAAGATCTTACCTGTACGTAAAGGTGTCGCAACTCATGTATGATAAAGATCTTATCATAATCTATTGGTTGTTATAGATAACTAGTAAAAAGAAGATACTAGTATATCTTAAACCACATGAATCTAGAAGATTCACTTGTCTGAGAGAGAAGTAAGACAAGATGGTGGTCCCCCCGAGTTATAACGGAAGTTGGAAGAATAGGACAGCTGATGAATCCAGGAAGTGGCTTGACCCACCACCAATCCGAAGGATTCTATAAGCAAAAGATCATGAGTCAGGATAAGGAAAAATATGTACTTTTTTAAGTAAAATGATATTTTATACTTATCCTGAGTCATGAGGAGAAGCCCTCCCAACCTCCCTGCTGGAAACACTTCGGATTTCACAGTAGATCCAGGTGCATGGGCAGAAAAATCAGGAGAGAGTGACAAGTAAGGCTGGTCACATGACTATTTGTGCGGGAAAACAGGGAGGTAACTCGTGGGTGAATGTATTATTACGTCCGATTCGGGAACTACAAGGGATTCAAGTGTTCTACCATTCGCAAGGAAAAGGGAGAGCAGCAAAAGATCATAAGTCAGGATAAGTACAAAATATCAAGTATTATCAGGTTAATGTTTTTCTAACACCACAAGCTTGCAGTTGGTCAAAGCATCTCTCCAAACAAGATGAAATGTTTTTCAGAACATTTCCAATCAAGTTAACCCGTGAAGGTCTGGATTAGAAAGAATCTTCAGTAACGCATGCTTGTCGTAAGAGGCGACTAACGGGATCGGGTGGTGAGGCTCGCTGACTTGGTTCACACATGTCATCGGTTCCAAATTGTACAGTTAGATGCTCATGCTGTTGATCACTGGATTGTCTGGTCCAGACTCGATTATTTTCAGACTACCGCCATATAGCTGGAATATTGCTGAGTGCGGAGTAAAACTAAACTAACTCACTCACTCCAATCAAGTTAAACACAACAGACTGTGTCTCAGAAATGTTGTAAACAGTGCAGTCACCTTGAGCATGATAGTGACATGCTTGCATGTTTACTGATCTTGATTTAGTTTCAGAAACAATATGTTGAGTTGGTACTTTAATATACATAACGTACTGTCATCTACTGCTGTTTGTTGACACATACAGACCCTGCACACATGTTATGTCAGTATTTCCACAACCTGTCCCGTCGAGAACAGGGCTTGTGGTTGAGTCCAAGCAATAAATCAATGAAACAGGTTGCAATGAAATTAAATACATATCTACATAGGTATATTTCATTTGAAAAACTAATTGTTGTAATGGCTATTTTGTATGAATTAACAGGGAAAGTATTTAATAAACATGGGTATTTGTTGCGTTTACCACTCCTCGTGACCTTGTGTTTCAATGTTCTAAGGAAACAGATTACCCGCTTGCAAGTATGTGTTCCAAATGAGCCCCATTTCCAAAGCATTCTTGTTGTCATGGTAGAACTGAGTCAAGCCTCCTGAAAGTTGTACTTCCATATTACAAAAGAGCAGGGATGACAATTTTCTGCCGATTGGCCGGTTTTATCTCTAAATTGGTTATGAATTGTGTCAATGAACCTCCCATTCGATGACACAATATTAAGTTTTCCAATGAGAATAGATTTTCCTGTTGCTATCCCTGTAAGAGGTATGTTACCTTCAGCTACACAACCGTTGAAACCATAGGTTAACGTCTTAAATGATTGATCCTGCAGGTTGGTGATCTTGAAATCTGTATGTACAATGTTCTGAGGCAACACACAGATAATATGTCACTCAAGGATAGTATGTCACTCAAGGATAATATGTCACTCAAGGATAATATGTCACTCAAGGATAGTATGTCACTCAAGGATAATATGTCACTCAAGGATAGTATGTCACTCAAGGATAATATGTCACTCAAGGATAGTATGTCACTCAAGGATAATATGTCACTCAAGGATAATATGTCACTCAAGGATAGTATGTCACTCAAGGATAATATGTCACTCAAGGATAATATGTCACTCAAGGATAATATGTCACTCAAGGATAGTATGTCACTCAAGGATAATATGTCAAAGATAGTATGTCACCCAAGGATAATATGTCACTCAAGGATAATATGTCACTCAAGGATGATATGTCACTCAAGGATAGTATGTCACTCAAGGATAATATGTCACTCAAGGATAGTATGTCACTCAAGGATAGTATGTCAATCAAGGATAGTATGTCACTCAAGGATAGTATGTCACTCAAGGATAATATGTCAGTCAAGGATAGTATGTCACTCAAGGGTAATATGTCACTCAAGGATAATATGTCACTCAAGGATAGTATGTCACTCAAGGATAGTATGTCACTCAAGGATAATATGTCACTCAAGGATAGTATGAAAGGAAGAATTCATGATTTATGACAACACAGCCACCTGTTTTGAAAACAAGAATTCATCTGAATTAGCTCTGGTCATTTTACACCTATAATCATCCTCTTACTTCCATCAATCTAACAACATGTCATGAGTTTATACTCTTACCCTAAGTCAGACAATCTTCATATTCCAGGCGTATGGACAGACGTTTATACAAGATGACGTCTTCCTTGCCACTGTTGGAGCATTTGGTGCCGTCTTTAATGCTGCTGGACGAATTGCATGGGGATACTTTGCTGATAAGGTTTCATTCAAGGTAACGCCAATGCTGCAGCTTATTGTGGATATCAGGTGCTCAGTCGATGCCAAGACAGGGCGTCAACTCAGTCAAAGCTTACACTTATCTATCACAGCTGATTTTCCTGCTGTGAGATTTAAAAGATATAACCGGAAGAACTACACAATTATTAGTTCTAACAAACCTTTGGTTGAGAAACCCATTCCTGGCTACTCCATGGTGGTGCTCTAAGGACAAAGTATGAGCAACCTTCCTGATTGTAATTCATTGATAAGTTAGCCGTGCCGTCTGTCTAACTTTGTTCTTGATCTTGTCTAGTTTGCATAACCATCATGGAAATGAGAAACCACAGATGCTGAAGAAACTTCACTGGTTTTGTTCACCTATAAAGAGACAGTCCTGCTGTCATTTGTATCCACAAAATCACTGATTTGACATGATGTAGATGTGCTCTTGTGTTTCCAGGTCAGCATGACGTGCCTGTGTGCTCTGTTCACGGTGCTGCTGCTCACAATAGGCCTGACAAGCTTAGCAGGAAAATGGCTGTTCTTCCTGTACGTGTGTCTGATATTTGGCACATTCTCGGGCAACTTCTCACTGTTTCCTGTCGCTACAGCCCGGTCATTTGGTCAGCTTCACTACCCACTCAACTACGGGCTGCTCTTTACATCCCAGGTAACGTGTGATTGCATCTCTAACCCTTATCATTACCTGTATCACAGGTAACGTGTGATAGTATTCCTAACCTTATCATTCTTGTGATAGTATTCCTTATCATTACCTGTATCACAGGTAACGTGTGATAGTATTCCTAATTCCCTTATCATTACCTGTATCACAGGTAACGTGTGATAGTATTGTGATCACAGATAACGTGTGATAGTATTCCTAAACCTTATCATTACCTGTATCACAGGTAACGTGTGATAGTATTCCTAACCCTTATCATTACCTGTATCACAGGTAACGTGTGATAGTATTCCTAAACCTTATCATTACCTGTATCACAGGTAACGTGTGATAGTATTCCTAACCCTTATCATTACCTGTATCACAGGTAACGTGTGATAGTATTCCTAAACCTTATCATTACCTGTATCACAGGTAACGTGTGATAGTATTCCTAAACCTTATCATTACCTGTATCACAGGTAACGCATGTGATAGTATTCCTAACCCTTATCATTACCTGTATCACAGGTAACATGTGATAGTATTCCTAACCCTTATCATTACCTGTATCACAGGTAACATGTGATAGTATTCCTAAACCTTATCATTACCTGTATCACAGGTAACGTGTGATAGTATTCCTAAACCTTATCATTACCTGTATCACAGGTAACGTGTGATAGTATTCCTAACCCTTATCATTACCTGTATCACAGATAGCGTGTGATAGTATTCCTAAACCTTATCATTACCTGTATCACAGATAACGGTGATGTGATAGTATTCCTAAACCTTATCATTACCTGTATCACAGGTAACGTGTGATAGTATTCCTAACCCTTATCATTACCTGTATCACAGATAACGTGTGATAGTATTCCTAAACCTTATCATTACCTGTATCACAGGTAACGTGTGATAGTATTCCTAACCCTTATCATTACCTGTATCACAGATAACGTGTGATAGTATTCCTAAACCTTATCATTACCTGTATCACACAGATAACGTGTGATAGTATTCCTAAACCTTATATTACCTGTATCCTTGTGATAGTATTCCTAACCTTATCATTACCTGTATCACAGGTAACATGTGATAGTATTCCTAACCCTTATCATTACCTGTATCACAGGTAACGTGTGATAGTATTCCTAAACCTTATCATTACCTGTATCACAGGTAACGTGTGATAGTATTCCTAAACCTTATCATTACCTGTATCACAGGTAACGGTGATAGTATTCCTAACCCTTATCATTACCTGTATCACAGGTAACGTGTGATAGTATTCCTAAACCCTTATCATTACCTGTATCACAGATAGCGTGACAGGTAACGGTGATAGTATTCCTAACTCCTTATCATTACCTGTATCACAGGTAACATGTGATAGTATTCCTAAACCCTTATCATTACCTGTATCTGATAGTATTCCTAACCCTTATCATTACCTGTAAAGATAACGTGTGATAGTATTCCTAAACCTTATCATTACCTGTATCACAGATAACGTGTGATAGTATTCCTAAACCTTATCATTACCTGTATCACAGGTAACGTGTGATAGTATTCCTAACCCTTATCATTACCTGTATCACAGGTAACGTGTGATAGTATTCCTAACCCTTATCATTACCTGTATCACAGGTAACGTGTGATAGTATTCCTAAACCTTATCATTACCTGTATCACAGATAACGTGTGATAGTATTCCTAAACCTTATCATTACCTGTATCACGGGTAGCGTAACATGTGATAGTATTCCTAACCCTTATCATTACCTGTATCACAGATAGCGTGTGATAGTATTCCTAAACCTTATCATTACCTGTATCACAGGTAACGTGTGATAGTATTCCTAAACCTTATCATTACCTGTATCACAGGTAACGTGTGTGATATTTACCTATTCCTAACCCTTATCATTACCTGTATCACAGGTAACGTGTGATAGTATTCCTAAACCCTTATCATTACCTGTATCACAGGTAACGTGTGATAGTATTCCTAACCCTTATCATTACCTGTATCACAGGTATTCCTAAACCTTATAACGTATGTGATGAGTATTCCTAAACCTTATCATTACCTGTATCACATCATTACCTGTATCACGTGTGATAGTATTCCTAAACCTTATCATTACCTGTATCACAGATAACATGTGATAGTATTCCTAAGCCCTTATCATTACCTGTATCACAGGTAACGTGTGATAGTATTCCTAAACCTTATCATTACCTGTATCACAGGTAACATGGCGTGTGATAGTATTCCTAAACCTTATCATTACCTGTATCACAGGTAACGTGTGATAGTATTCCTAACCTGTATATCATTACCTGTATCACAGGTAACGTGTGATAGTATTCCTAACCCTTATCATTACCTGTATCACAGGTAACGTGTGATAGTATTCCTAACCCTTATCATTACCTGTATCACAGATGATAGTATAGTACCTGTATCTAAACCTGTGATAGTATTCTAACCCTTATCATTACCTGTATCACGGGTAGCGTGTGATAGTATTCCTAAAACCTTATCATTACCTGTATCACAGATAACGTGTGATAGTATTCCTAACCCTTATCATTACCTGTATCACGGGTAACGTGTGATAGTATTCCTAAACCTTATCATTACCTGTATCACAGGTAACGTGTGATAGTATTCCTAAACCTTATCATTACCTGTATCACAGGTAACGTGTGATAGTATTCCTAAACCTTATCATTACCTGTATCACAGGTAACGTGTGATAGTATTCATTACCTAACCCTTATCATTACCTGTATCACAGGTAACATGTGATAGTATTCCTAACCCTTATCATTACCTGTATCACAGATAACGTGTGATAGTATTCCTAAACCTTATCATTACCTGTATCACAGGTAACGTGTGATAGTATTCCTAACCCTTATCATTACCTGTATCACAGGTAACGTGTGATAGTATTCCTAAACCTTATCATTACCTGTATCACAGGTAACGTGTGATAGTATTCCTAACCCTTATCATTACCTGTATCACAGATAACGTGTGATAGTATTCCTAATCATTACCCTTATCACAGGTAAGTGTGATTACCTGTATCACAGGTAACATGTGATAGTATTCCTAAACCTTATCATTACCTGTATCACGGGTGGCGTGTGATAGTGATTCCTAAACCTTATCATTACCTGTATCACAGATAACGATAGTGATAGTATTCCTAAACCTTATCATTACCTGTATCACAGGTAACGTGTGATAGTATTCCTAAACCTTATCATTACCTGTATCACAGGTAACATGTGATAGTATTCCTAACCCTTATCATTACCTGTATCACAGATAGCGTGTGATAGTATTCCTAAACCTTATCATTACCTGTATCACAGATAACGATGTGATAGTATTCCTAACCCTTATCATTACCTGTATCACAGGTAACGTGTGATAGTATTCCTAAACCTTATCATTACCTGTATCACAGGTAACGTGTGATAGTATTCTAACCCTTATCATTACCTGTATCACAGGTAACATGTGATAGTATTCCTAACCCTTATCATTACCTGTATCACAGATAACGTGTGATAGTATTCCTAACCCTTATCATTACCTGTATCACAGATAACGTGTGATAGTATTCCTAAACCCTTATCATTACCTGTATCACAGGTAACATGTGATAGTATTCCTAAACCTTATCATTACCTGTATCACAGGTAAACATGTGATAGTATTCCTAAACCTTATCATTACCTGTATCACAGGCAACGTATGTGATAGTATTCCTAACCCTTATCATTACCTGTATCACAGGTAACGTGTGATAGTATTCCTAAACCTTATCATTACCTGTATCACAGGTAACGATGTGATAGTATTCCTAACCCTTATCATTACCTGTATCACAGGTAACATGTGATAGTATTCCTAACCTTATCATTACCTGTATCACAGATAACGTGTGATAGTATTCCTAACCCTTATCATTACCTGTATCACAGATAACGTGTGATAGTATTCCTAAACCTTATCATTACCTGTATCACAGGTAACATGTGATAGTATTCCTAAACCTTATCATTACCTGTATCACAGGTATTCCTAAACCTTATCATTACCTGTAACAGGCGGTGATTGCATCTCTAACCCTTATCATTACCTGTATCACAGGTAACGTGTGATAGTATTCCTAACCCTTATCATTACCTGTATCACAGGTAACGTGTGATAGTATTCCTAACCCTTATCATTACCTGTATCACAGGTAACGTGTGATAGTATTCCTAACCCTTATCATTACCTGTATCACAGGCAACGTGTGATTGCATCTCTAAACCTTATCATTACCTGTATCACAGGTAACATGTGATAGTATTCCTAACCCTTATCATTACCTGTATCACAGATAACGTGTGATAGTATTCCTAAACCTTATCATTACCTGTATCACAGGTAACGTGTGATAGTATTCCTAAACCTTATCATTACCTGTATCACAGGTAACATGTGATAGTATTCCTAACCCTTATCATTACCTGTATCACAGATAACGTGTGATAGTATTCCTAAACCTTATCATTACCTGTATCACAGGTAACGTGTGATAGTATTCCTAACCCTTATCATTACCTGTATCACAGATAACGTGAGATAGTATTCCTAAACCTTATCATTACCTGTATCACAGATAACGTGTGATAGTATTCCTAACCCTTATCATTACCTGTATCACAGGTAACATGTGATAGTATTCCTAACCCTTATCATTACCTGTATCACAGGTAACATGTGATAGTATTCCTAACCCTTATCATTACCTGTATCACAGGTAACGTGTGATAGTATTCCTAAACCTTATCATTACCTGTATCACAGATAACGTGTGATAGTATTCCTAAACCTTATCATTACCTGTATCACAGGCAACATGTGATAGTATTCCTAACCCTTATCATTACCTGTATCACAGGTAACATGTGATAGTATTCCTAAACCTTATCATTACCTGTATCACAGATAACGTGTGATAGTATTCCTAAACCTTATCATTACCTGTATCACAGGTAACATGTGATAGTATTCCTAACCCTTATCATTACCTGTATCACAGGTAACATGTGATAGTATTCCTAACCTTATCATTACCTGTATCACAGATAACGTGTGATAGTATTCCTAACCCTTATCATTACCTGTATCACAGATAACGTGTGATAGTATTCCTAAACCTTATCATTACCTGTATCACAGGTAACATGTGATAGTATTCCTAAACCTTATCATTACCTGTATCACAGATAACGATGTGATAGTATTCCTAAACCTTATCATTACCTGTATCACAGGTAACGTGTGATAGTATTCCTAAACCTTATCATTACCTGTATCACAGGTAACATGTGATAGTATTCCTAACCCTTATCATTACCTGTATCTAATGTAAAGTGTGATAGTATTCCTAAACCTTATCATTACCTGTATCACAGATAACGTGTGATAGTATTCCTAAACCTTATCATTACCTGTATCACAGGTAACGTGTGATAGTATTCCTAAACCTTATCATTACCTGTATCACAGGTAACGTGTGATAGTATTCCTAACCCTTATCATTACCTGTATCACAGGTAACATGTGATAGTATTCCTAACCTTATCATTACCTGTATCACAGATAACGTGTGATAGTATTCCTAACCCTTATCATTACCTGTATCACAGATAACGTGTGATAGTATTCCTAAACCTTATCATTACCTGTATCACAGGTAACATGTGATAGTATTCCTAAACCTTATCATTACCTGTATCACAGGCAACGTGTGATTGCATCTCTAACCCTTATCATTACCTGTATCACAGGTAGCGTGTGATAGTATTCCTAACCCTTATCATTACCTGTATCACAGGTAACGTGTGATAGTATTCCTAACCCTTATCATTACCTGTATCACAGGTAACGTGTGATAGTATTCCTAACCCTTATCATTACCTGTATCACAGGCAACGTGTGATTGCATCTCTAACCCTTATCATTACCTGTATCACAGGTAACATGTGATAGTATTCCTAACCCTTATCATTACCTGTATCACAGATAACGTGTGATAGTATTCCTAAACCTTATCATTACCTGTATCACAGGTAACGTGTGATAGTATTCCTAACCCTTATCATTACCTGTATCACAGGTAACATGTGATAGTATTCCTAACCCTTATCATTACCTGTATCACAGATAACGTGTGATAGTATTCCTAAACCTTATCATTACCTGTATCACAGGTAACGTGTGATAGTATTCCTAACCCTTATCATTACCTGTATCACAGATAACGTGTGATAGTATTCCTAAACCTTATCATTACCTGTATCACAGATAACGTGTGATAGTATTCCTAACCCTTATCATTACCTGTATCACAGGTAACATGTGATAGTATTCCTAACCCTTATCATTACCTGTATCACAGGTAACATGTGATAGTATTCCTAACCCTTATCATTACCTGTATCACAGGTAACGTGTGATAGTATTCCTAAACCTTATCATTACCTGTATCACAGATAACGTGTGATAGTATTCCTAAACCTTATCATTACCTGTATCCCAGGTTACGTGTGATAGTATTCCTAAACCTTATCATTACCTGTATCACAGGTAACATGTGATAGTATTCCTAACCCTTATCATTACCTGTATCACAGGTAACATGTGATAGTATTCCTAACCTTATCATTACCTGTATCACAGATAACGTGTGATAGTATTCCTAAACCTTATCATTACCTGTATCACAGGTAACGTGTGATAGTATTCCTAACCCTTATCATTACCTGTATCACAGATAACGTGTGATAGTATTCCTAAACCTTATCATTACCTGTATCACAGGTAACATGTGATAGTATTCCTAAACCTTATCATTACCTGTATCACAGATAACGTGTGATAGTATTCCTAAACCTTATCATTACCTGTATCACAGGTAACGTGTGATAGTATTCCTAAACCTTATCATTACCTGTATCACAGGTAACATGTGATAGTATTCCTAACCCTTATCATTACCTGTATCTAATGTAAAGTGTGATAGTATTCCTAAACCTTATCATTACCTGTATCACAGATAACGTGTGATAGTATTCCTAAACCTTATCATTACCTGTATCACAGGTAACGTGTGATAGTATTCCTAAACCTTATCATTACCTGTATCACAGGTAACGTGTGATAGTATTCCTAACCCTTATCATTACCTGTATCACAGGTAACATGTGATAGTATTCCTAACCTTATCATTACCTGTATCACAGATAACGTGTGATAGTATTCCTAAACCTTATCATTACCTGTATCACAGGTAACGTGTGATAGTATTCCTAACCCTTATCATTACCTGTATCACAGATAACGTGTGATAGTATTCCTAAACCTTATCATTACCTGTATCACAGGTAACATGTGATAGTATTCCTAAACCTTATCATTACCTGTATCACAGATAACGTGTGATAGTATTCCTAAACCTTATCATTACCTGTATCACAGGAAACGTGTGATAGTATTCCTAAACCTTATCATTACCTGTATCACAGGTAACATGTGATAGTATTCCTAACCCTTATCATTACCTGTATCTAATGTAAAGTGTGATAGTATTCCTAAACCTTATCATTACCTGTATCACAGATAACGTGTGATAGTATTCCTAAACCTTATCATTACCTGTATCACAGGTAACGTGTGATAGTATTCCTAAACCTTATCATTACCTGTATCACATGTAACATGTGATAGTATTCCTAAACCTTATCATTACCTGTATCACAGGTAACATGTGGTAGTATTCCTAAACCTTATCATTACCTGTATCACAGATAACGTGTGTAAGTATTCCTAACCTTATCATTACCTGTATCACAGGTAACATGTGATAGTATTCCTAAACCTTATCATTACCTGTATCACAGGTAACATGTGATAGTATTCCTAAACCTTATCATTACCTGTATCACAGATAACGTGTGATAGTATTCCTAAACCTTATCATTACCTGTATCACAGGTAACATGTGATAGTATTCCTAAACCTTATCATTACCTGTATCACAGGTAACATGTGATAGTATTCCTAACCCTTATCATTACCTGTATCACAGGTAACGTGTGATAGTATTCCTAAACCTTATCATTACCTGTATCACAGGTAACGTGTGATAGTATTCCTAAACCTTATCATTACCTGTATCACAGGTAACATGTGATTGCCTCTCCAACTCTTATCAGCACTCAGCAATATTCCAGCTGTATGGTGGCAGTCTGTAAATAATCGAGTCTGGACCAGACAATCCAATGATCAACAGCATGAGCATCGATCTACACAGTTGGTATACGATAACACGTGTCAGCCAAGTCAGCAAACCTGACCACCTGATCCCGTTAGTCGCCTCTTACGACATGGGTTACTGAAGATACCTTCTAACCCGGATCTTCACATGTTTCAGGTGATCACAGCCCCTGTTGGTGCAGTACTTACCTCCCAGTTGAAGGGCATCATTGGCTGGTATGGGATGTTCTTTGTGGTGTCTGGATTCTCATTCAGCAGTAAGTCAGCTTCAGGTCTCATCATCTCATAGTCTGTGATTACAAATTAGAAAGTGGTCAAACTTAACATATGTTATATTTGGGATTACAGTTTCTTAGTAAAGTACAGATTCTAGTACTTTTGTTGGGTTGAGTTCCATCCGGGATTCGAACCCACGGAGGCAGGGGTTTGAATCCCGGATGGACTCAACCCAACAAAAGTACTAGAATCTGTACTTTACTAAGAAAGTGTAATGGGTTCGAAACCTGGATGGGACTCAACCCAACAAATGTACTAGAATCTGTACTTTACTAAGAAAGTGTAATCCCATCTGATAGTCTGATAAAAATGATATGAAAAATATATTGGTTTTCATGTACATATGTACTTACACAAGTTTAGTGTTGACAGGATAAACAGTAAGTAAGACCTTCCTGTCTCAGTCCAAGAACACAGAATATTATACTGTATTATGATTTCAAACCTGGTCATTCACTTTATGAGGCTGATGGACAGCGTCTATCTCCTGGTAATCTATTCAGCCTCAGTAACGATGTGAGGTGTATAAGGAACTGCTGTGCAAGTGGCCATTCCCCATGAACAGACAGGAAGGGCACACATACTGCAGTCCTCCATATAGCACCTTGAATACTGCTGTCTGTAACATGAAACATTCCCCATGAACAGACAGGACGGGCACACATACTGCAGTCCTCCATATAGCACCTTGAATACTGCTGTCTGTAACATGAAACATTCCCCATGAACAGACAGGACGGGCACACATACTGCAGTCCTCCATATAGCACCTTGAATACTGCTGTCTGTAACATGAATCATTCCCCATGAACAGACAGGAAGGGCACACATACTGCAGTCCTCCATATAGCACCTTGAATACTGCTGTCTGTAACATGAAACATTCCCCATGAACAGACAGGACGGGCACACATACTGCAGTCCTCCATATAGCACCTTGAATACTGCTGTCTGTAACATGAAACATTCCCCATGAACAGACAGGACGGGCACACATACTGCAGTCCTCCATATAGCACCTTGAATACTGCTGTCTGTAACATGAAACATTCCCCATGGACAGACAGGAAGGGCACACATACTGCAGTCCTCCATATAGCACCTTGAATACTGCTGTCTGTAACATGAAACATTCCCCATGAACAGACAGGAAGGGCACACATACTGCAGTCCTCCATATAGCACCTTGAATACTGCTGTCTGTAACATGAAACATTGAACAAACAATCCAGTTCCTGAAAGCAATGCTTTCAACTGCTACAGACACTGGACATTTAATTTTGACCAAAGCTGAATGTTTCTCAAAGGATTTGCCTTCAGGAAACATTTGAAAAGTTATTCACAGGACAAGAACTGAATTCAAGTAATAATTGTGTGAAGGGATCTACATAGATGATGCTGTCTGCTTATATTTCAGGTTTTATTCTGATGTTTGTCTTCCAAGTTAAAAATTCCAAAGGAAAAGACGTATAAAACCGATTTTTTATGAAAGACGAAGGAGAAGACCTGGGATACAGTACAACAGATGTCTGCCTGGCAACATTGATATCTACATGTGCAATATTCCCTACACTAGTCATCTGTCTGGGTATATAGTTCCATGTGTTTGATGTAAGGACATTATTCCATACATGACCCACCTGGGTATTTGGACATCTACTTACGTATGTGATATTCCCTGTACAAAATATCTGGGCTTGTGATATATGTCTTATCCTAATATTTGATGTCCTCCGGTGTATAAAGACATCAGTGTGTGTGTGAAATAAGGGTGATCTTCTTTATATTTAATGTCTTTTGGTGTATATGGACATCAATATATGTGTGATATAAGGGTGATCTTCCTTATATTTTATGTCTACGGGGTATATGGACATCAATGTGTGTGATATAAGGGTGATCTTCCTTATATTTGATGTCTATGAGGTATATGGACATCAATATATGTGTGATATAAGGGTGATCTTCCTTATATTTTATGTCTACAGGGTATATGGACATCAATATATGTGTGATATAAGGATGATCTTCCTTATATTTTATGTCTACGCGGTATATGGACATCAGTATATGTGTGATATAAGGGTGATCTTCCTTATATTTGATGTCTACTGGGGTATATGGACCTCTGTGTGTGGGATATAGGGGTTATATCCCTCCTATAGAGGGGTGACTTGTCTTCTGTCATGGTATATACTAGTTGGCATCTCCTTCTGTGATAAAGGAATTTCATTCAGAAGGTAGCGTGCAAATATTTAAAATGTTTTGAAAGCAGCAATTGCGACAATATACTGTTATGTATTGTTATAAAATGTATCAAAACTTCAGCCACAGCTTGCACAGGTTGAAAGGGTGAAATTGAATACCTTAACATATCATTCATACGGTAACATCTGCTTGTCAGAAATCTGTGATTGTGTTAATCTATGCAAGACTAGAAGTTGTGTGGAGCAGCTAACCCTAGCAACAGCTGCTTCAGGAAGCTACAGGGTGTTGTGTGCTGTACCATGAGTTTGTTCTGTCGATGACTGACAGCGTCTGTTGTAATGTGGATATCTGTATATAATAACCATTCCAGCTGAATATTCCAAATCACATAGAAGGAAATCACAAGGACTCCATGAGACCCTGCCATGCTGTGATGTGCAACTTAAGATTCAGGAAGTTCCTACATTCGAATAACGCAGGAACTCCAGGAACTCCAAATAATGTTGTTCTCAAAAGTACAGTCAATATTCGGTTAGATTTGCTTCACTGATCTGTTTCAAACAAGCACATCTCCATTTATAATAAGCTTAAAGTATCATGCATACTTTGTGTTTGGTGGTACCCGTGAAGGTCCGGGTTAGTATGTATACAGTGCCCTAAAACACCATGTCCCAGTCCTGAACTCCAATGTCCTACACACAATATCTCAATTTTAGGACTCCCAAAACAAGTCCAGAAGTGTTCTAATACCCAATATTGAAACTGTAGCACTTCATTTATTGCCTTGTTGATAGTTCGCACCCATATATATAAGTAGCTTGGTGGCAAAACCGATTCACATGTTGATGCTTATGCAATCAGGTACTGACTTGTTTAATATTATGTTGGACCAACTGGTAATTTGACTGATGGCAATGTGACGAGAGTCTGCTGAGAGAGTTGTCTGTTGTGTACATAATGTTACTCCTTTAGGGAAGTGCAATAATCAAGTTGTGCCAAATATTTTAGTTGTGGCAGTTACCGATTGGGTAGCAGTTGTTGCTGTCTGTATCACTGTCGAATGTGACTGCATAGGAGACGGTGATGCTGCAACAGTTGTGTCAGACTTTATATTTTAGATAATATTTGCCCAAATGTGATCCTGAAAAAATTACCCTGAGAGACACCTGAAGATAGTTTTACTGTACTAAGGTTTCGAATTAGAAAATAAGGTCACTAACTGAATAATCATGAACAATAAATCTACGAGCCTATTACGTAAATTCCTTTTCTTTTGATTATGTGTGGTACTCATATAAAGACTATCACCTATACTTTCACAAACTCGACCTGGACAGTTGTTTGAGATTTGTATCGGAAATATACCTGAAAACAAAACCGTCATGTAGTGAATATATCATTGTATTACATATATTGTATATTTCTTGTTGGCTCCTCATTTGTGTAATCTTGGAGGAACAGATGTTTGTCTTCCACATTTCAGCTCTTGTCATCCTGTTCCAATAGATCAAACGAGTAAGTGAAGTGTACAATCAAAATGTCACCTAGTGTAAACTGTCAGTCGACATGATTCTGTACTGCTGTTGTTTTCAGGTTGAACACTGAATAAAAAGAAATAACGAAACCTGCAAACCAATTACTTTAGATATATGGTTTTACGAACGAGGTCTGCTCAGTGTCTAAATGTGACTCGTCATGGTATTTTGGAATGAACTGTTCCTCTCCGCAACAGTATATAATAAGTGGAGATGAACACATCTATTTCACGTGAATTTCGCCGATACTCACTGGAACGACGGGGCCGATTGGGTAGCCTTGTGGTTCAAGCGTTGGCTCGTCGCGCTGAAGACATGGGTTCGATTCCTAAAATAGGTACTGTACAATGTGTGAAGCATTTCTGGTGTCCCCCGCTGTGATATTGTTGGAATATTGCTAAAAGTGCATAAACCATACTCACTCTGTATCGGTACCTCGGTGAAACGTGTCTTCCTACGTCGTCTGCTCGAAGAGAGGCACGTAATCCACAGCGCCCCCTGTGAGTAGTTCTCAGGTTGAAGTAACTTCCCTTGAATAGAAGTGTAACCAGTCGAGCGTTGTGTTGGCTGATTGTTGTTGAAAGCCGCACTCAGCAATATTCCAGCTTTATGACGGCCATGTAAATAATCGAGTCTGGACCAGACAATCCGGTGATCATCAGCACTGCACCTGATCCCGTTAATCGCCTCTTACTACAAGCATGGTCTACTGAAGAGCGAAATATTCTCAAGCACGACGTAAAACCCAATTTCACCTCACCTCACTGAAGATCAATTCAAACCCGGATCTTCACGGGTTCGAGCGTTGTGAAAACATTGTCTGTTGAATAACACCACAGTCAGCACAATATAAAAATTCATAAATTGGCCGCTGTATAAACTTAATTGATGAGGAGAGACACAAACACGAACACCAAGACTGACTGAGTTTTACTCCGCTTTTAGCAATATTACAACAACATCAGGGCGGGGGACATCAGAAACGAACACCAAGAAAATGACTATGTACAAGAAGATCAGACGTAGATCATGCCATCTATATCTGTATTAGTAATAACGGATAATATCCCTACAACTGAGTACATATCATCTAGTCAGAGTGGATCATGCTACTTATGTACTTGTACATCCATTATGTATAACATGTAAAACATGAAGTGGAAATAACAGACGAAAAAAAACCATCAAGAAAATGAAGTTTACTGTAGACATGAAGTCTTGTAATGCAACCATATACCAAAGTGTATAGCCCCCTATTGGCTCAACTGGCATATGGGTATTTTATGTACGGTTCGATTTAGTGGTGTCCACATGTCCACAAAGTCTTATTTGGTTTGATTCCATTTATATTTCTCTGCGGTCTCATTTTCATTGATGTTACAGGCTTGCAAATTTTGGGCCATGCCATACATAGTTGGAGTCTGTTTCCACTGGGTGATTTTCCCTTTTGCAAACTTCAGTAGGTGATACAGCCAAATGTTTCCCCTTAAACCTGTAGCCCACTATATTGCTTCTGGGACCAACTACATACAGATGTCAGTAATGCATACCCAGTTTGACTATGGCGGTCATCTTGTGAACTTCAGTATGGCACATGTTAAACGGCGTCGGTCTGTCAATAATTGTCACCCGACCAGCCAGACAATCCAGTGACTCGGACAAAATCAACATGGATCTACAGAACTTGGATATGGTGGCATGCATCAAGTGAGCACATGATCCCGTTAGTCACTTTATGACAAGCATGGGTTGTGAAGACTGGATCTTTGTGCGTGTTGTGACGTCTGGCCAATGTTTCAGATTACGATCAACATTGCTGTCCGCTGCGCACTGCCGCGCGCACTAAAAGGGCTTGGGATTTCTTCATAGCAAAGCGATTGAAGCCCTTCTATAATCACCAATCTAAAACAGTAAAAATCATTTCTAAAATCAGAAGAAGTCCATTGTACAATTCCGACCATACCAGCACCGGGTGTTAACCTGGGTTATTCATACGGACAGCTGCTGTTAAATCATACTGCTGAGTAGACAAAACATATTTTCAATGTTACACAAGGCAGTTTTTCATGAGGCAGTCTGATTAACACATACAGAAAACTTTGAGTAGGAGAAATGCAAGGAAGCTAAAGTCTTGTCAGATCTTCTTCTGGTTTCCCGGCAAACGAACTGCCATGATTACACAATGCCATTTTAGAAAGTGGTGAAATGCAACATATGTTATATCTGGGACTACACTTTCTTAGTAAAATAAAGATCCCATCCGGGATTCGAACCCACACCCTCAGAGTCGGGCACCTAAACGAACTGCCTCTCTACAGATTTGTTTTGGCTTAGAATTTGTCTTCAGCTTTTCGTAAGAGGCGACTAACCGGATCGGCCGGTCAGGCTGGCTGACTTGGTTGACACATGTCATCATATAATGTTCCTGACTTATTATCGTATCCTGTTCATGGTGTCGATCACTGGATTGCCTGGTCAAGACTCGAATATTTCCTGACTTATCGTATCCTGTTCATGGTGTCGATCACTGGATTGCCTGGTCAAGACTCGAATATTTCCTGATCGCAGTCATTTAGTTGGAATATTGATAAGCAACAAACATAATCAAACAAAAACGCCGTCTTCAGGGGCTCTGGGCGCCGTTGTACAAAACGACCCAAGCGCTAGGATTACCCAATCTCGGTTTATCGTGACTTCCCGTCGTACGAATCTATCTTACACTAAGGTAGACGTAGTTGCTGTCCACCCGGAGCCGTAGTTGCTGTCCACACGGAGCCGTAGTTGCTGTCCACACGGAGCCGTAGTTGCTGTCCACCCGGAGCCGTAGTTGCTGTCCACACGGAGCCGTAGTTGCTGTCCACACGGACTGTCGAAAATTGAAATTGTATAAATTCGATGTTTCGGGTATTGCGGAAGGAGGCAGTTAACACTATGGGGTTGGACGCTCCGGGCATTTAGGAAAACAAAATACGTTATACAGTACATTCTTTATTGGGTAAGACTTTCCTTGTTCTTCTTGTACTTGTAACATCCATGATGTAAATTTCTGTGATCGTAGACGTTCTCTGTGAAGGTAACCGGAACCTGCGCATTTACCTAGCTTATATAGTTACATATGCATCCGTGAGAAGGAAATGTGACAAATCTGATACAAATCTAGTTAACCTTTCTCATTTCAACAACAACGGTTGTGTACTGCCGGCTGTATTTGCATCATTGTCCAGAAAATGTGACAAATCTATATAGTTAACTCAAACTTTCCTCATTTCAACAACAATAGTACTCATGTCTCCTCCCTCGTTAATTAGAGGAGAGCGGATTAGCGCAGTCTTTCTGCTGTTCTCAGGTTCATGTTCTCCCAGGCAGTCGACAGGCAGTCGACACTGTTGGTGTAAGAGCAGTGTGTGTATTCGATAAAAACATTCGACAGTCCGGGTGTGTATTCGATAAAACATTCGACAGTCCGGGTGTGTATTCGATAAAACATTCGACAGTCCGGGTGTGTATTCGATAAAACATTCGACAGTCCGGGTGTGTATTCGATAAAACATTCGACAGTCCGGGTGTGAACCCCTTAGTTAAGAGGTACATTTAAGGTTAGTAAAGTTAGACCATAGTGTGGCTGAGGTTGACGTTTTAAGTAATTTCAACATGTCTACATTCTTGTTGACGTGTGAGGAAACGGGTAGATAGCATATATTAAGGAGGACATATATCAGTCTGTCATTAAATAATCAATCATAATTCGGGAACGTCGCCGATAAACCTTGAATCGGTTGGGATGTTTTGGAAAATATACTAACACGAACGCCGACGTGAGCTTTCCGCCATATTGGATTGTGTTTTGAAAATCACGTTTCACCAAGGCCTGGCTCACACACTCAGCTGCGACAAATACGTCACTGAATAGATCTACCTCATACATTTTAGAATTTAAATACCAAATGGTCTTTGTCACCCAAACCAAATGTCTAGATGAAATCAACCGAAACATATTGGATGTGAAAACGAACGTTGTGCTCGTAACGATGACTTAAGATTTTACATTGTGTAGCATTTTCTCAAATGTTCACAAATCCACCCTTTTGTATGCACAGGCTCAATACTTTTAGAATATGCATGGAAAGAATATAGTAGCGATGCATGATAGACGCAAATTCACGCAAAACGACAACGGCAGTTATCGACATTTTTAACTTCTGCTCTTAGTTACAATGAAAACAATAAAAAAGAATAACAATACAAAGATTGTCAGGATGCTTCTGATTATTTATGTACAAACGATCGTCAACATTGTTGCACATATTGGTAATTTATTTCAGGTGAAGATCGGTTGAATAAGAGTAAACACAATAATCCGACCCTGTCTGTTACAGTTTCAATGACCGCCTCCGTGGTGTAGTGGTAAGAGCGTCCGCCCGGAGAGCGGAAGGTCGCGGGTTCGATCCCCGGCCGCGTCATACCAAAAGACGTTACAATGTGGTACTTGTTGGTCCCTGCCTGGCGCTCGGCATTAATGGGCACAACAAGGACTGGTCGGCTCGGAGTCAGTATAATGTGTCTGAGTGGGGTATTCATGCTCTGCGGCATGGTATCTCAGTGGGCTAGCACTATAAAACCAGCTTTCGTCTGGGTTAGTACAAGCAGCTGCACATACACATACACACGCATGCACGTCGTCATATGAGTGAAATATTCTTAAGCACGACGTTAAACCCAATTTCACCTCACCTACAGTTTCAATATCATGATGCTTATGCTGCGTATCGTTTATGTATTTACAAATACATAAGAACATGTTAGCGCAGAACACCATACTTTTACCCTTACCCAGGTAAAATTTATATTTAAAAACAATTATGTCCACACACATCACTGATGATTTTTCTTGGTCATAGAATCTTTTTAAGTCGTTTCATGGACTGTAAAGTTATGTTAAATGATTCTCCAGATGCGCGTTTGTAACACACGTTTAACAATTTACTCTCCTTGCTTCCTAATATAATCAATTAATATTTACATAAATTGTATATTGTAATGTCAGAATATTAAACTGTTAACTGTATTTTCTACAAGAATATAAACCATG